ATGAATGTTCCAGGTATATTCTGGGAATATCATTTTGCTATGTGGGAAACACCGAGATCAGAGCCGTGATTGAGCCCAATGAGAGACTTGCCTTCGGGCCACTTCTAGGAAGTTCCTAAGATGTTCCTCGCTGTAATTCGAGCCGCACGGATTGGACGGATTATTCAAAATCACTGCAGCGGTTTTTTGGTCAATTTGCGCCTCCAAATGTTCCAGATCTGCTTCCCAGTGATTCTCGGGGTTCAAGTTATAATACCTCGGCTCGACTCCCATGGACTCCGCCAGCGTCCTACAAGTCAGCCCCATTAGCTCTCATTGGTTGCGCCCTACCAATCGCTCACCGATAGATCGCGAATCCAGGCCTCGGAATGAGGATGTTCTGGCCTCGGGACGCATCTGCCAAAGCGGCAATGCAAATATCCAGGGATGAAGAACAGCCGCTGCATAGCACGATGTCTGTGGATTGGTAGACGGCTCCATCATAGCTGAGGTACTCAGCTACAGCTGCTCGAGCTGCCTCGTAGCCAACACTCGGCGCGTATCCGTTGCACAGACCTTCGTAGAGGACGTCGAGCACCGCTTTGGTTGTTTCTGCGGACGGTTTAAGGTTGCCGTAGATGGTCGGATCTCCTAAAAGTGAAAACTCTACATGCTAAAATACTCGGCTACGTCCCATCACGTATGTGAATTCATGGAGATTTCTTTCCATGCTCGCAAAAGCATCTACCTACACACCTAGAGACAAAGCAATAACCGGTTTTTCCGGATTTGGCTGTAAATTGAGACCTTCGACAATCTCCCTGATCAAGTTCTTGCAATTTTTTGCGGTTGTTGAGGGTTCGACTTTCCACAACTCCCTCTTAAGTTGCAAATTCTGGACGGCACCACTCAAGATGCAAATCTTACTGTTAGGAAGTAATTTGTCTAGCATGCTCACCAAACGACAATATTTAACACTTGCTTGTAATAGCAAAACACTATGGGACCTATTCACTTGACCACAGGTGATGGTTTGTCCTTTCGAGCCTACGGGAGGGTATAAATAGGCAAAATGAGATTGTTTTTTGCGAAAATGCAAAGCAGCAGCTCCAAAGCCAGTTTTTAATTAGATACATTAGGTAGTTTACATAAGGTGGTGTGATCGTTGTTGTTTCTATGCCGAATTGTCCGAGATGGACGTCGGCTTTTCCTTCTTGACCTTCTTGTCTAGCTTGGTCATTCCTAGAAAGTTTCTGGATTTTCAGCAAGGAATTGGAGTTTGAAGACAAAGAAATGTCGGGAGATTTTCGTTTTTTTGTCACGCAAAATAACATATTTACGGAATTCCGCGCGTTAAAAACATGTTGACAACAGATGGCGAATCGCAATTTCTTCGGCAGAACCGGATCTTTACCCGATACATTGATGTAATCATTTTTTCAATATTAATAATAAATCGATCAAATTTGATGACCTGGGAGAGATTTTGCATTATCATTGCAAGTCAATCCCTACTTTTTAATTTGTGGTTGAATCACTGCTGAGAAACAGACACATTTCACTAGCAATGATGAGAAACATACAAATTAGATGCAGATTCATTTATGTAAACGACGTAAATCAAATGGCATCTGTTTTCTTTGTTTTTATATGTTGTATATGTTTTTATAAGCAAACGCAGCTCTATAATGAGTCGGTGTTTGCAATAACAAAGTTAGCCTTGACTTAAACTAAAAGATATTTTGCGCGTTTAACCATCAGTAAGTTTGGTTCATTTGCGGCCAGTGAAGGGCGGATCCAGGGGGTGGGGGTCATGACCCCCCATTCAATTCTCTATCCATGTCAATAATCCTCTATTCTGTGGCTCGAATGGTTCTTGAGAAACTTCGAAAAAAGCAGCATCATGTTCAAGTGGATTTTGCAACTCAAAGAAAACCACGCAAATCTAAAACTTCTTGAATTCAAGCATTTTTTGAGAAAAGTGCCAACATTTCCTTATCGATGGTTCACTTTCTAAAAAGGCCATTTATTTCTCTCTAGAATGATGTACAAATGAGCGTTCTTGCTCATTTTGCCTCTGAGATATGAGCAAAAACGGGACAGAAAATATTAAATTTTGGCATAATCTTGCACCTAAGTGTCTGATATTCAAATTTCCTTTTCTGTGTCAAAACTTGAATTTCCGCACTCCGGTTGTTACAACTGAATCGACTTTTCAATTCTCTATCCAATGCTGCCAAAACGAATTATGTGGCTCGAATGGTTCTTGAGAAACGTCGAAAAAAGCAGCGTCATGTTCAAGTGGATTTTACAACTAAAAAAAAAACCACGCAAATCTAAAACTTCTTGAATTCAAGCATTTTTTGAGAAA